TCTGCTTTACTTCCTTAAATGAGAGAGGAAGAGTTGGTATCCTCAAAATGAAATGTGTTGAAAGGATTTATGAAAAGTTCTTCTAAATAGGAATGTAGTAAGTGGGTTTTGCTGATCTCCTTTTCTTCATTTGAAGCAGTTATTCTACCTATTTGTACAGTACAAGCAATGGGAGAGATCATCAAAGCAGTTGTTCAGAGAATGGAATGGGTTTGCTTTCTGTAAATTGGATTCTGCAATTTACTGAAAGCATCCTTGTCTCTAACATAATACTGTCATTCAAAATATTTCAGATTTTTTTTTTTGAGATTTGAGATTAAATCCTCTCTCCATTGAACCAGTGGAAAATTTACTCTGGTCCAGATTTTTTTCATTTCTAGTCTGAAGAGAAATCTTCCAAAATACCCATATTAAAGAGAAGAGTTTATATAGTGGCTGTGCTAATGAAGAGGGGTAAGTGGAGTAGTTCAAACATGTGATAGTAGATTGGAGTGGGGAGGATGGGGAGTTTATAGTGACTTGTCAGCACACTTTAAATTATCACTGCTTAGTGCTCACTGAGGATCTTACTCTTACTGTGATTGCTTACCTGGGTATAAAGGCCACCAAAAATTAATGTCAACTACCTGTCTAACGTGTGAGTGTGATTGTTTAGGTGGACATACACATATATTTTGGAAATTCCTCTGTTTATCTTTGTTCTTTTTAAACTTCTGATTATGTATTTGTAATTTAGTAGAAGACAGTATCTATGCATTTTTTTAAAGGAAAAACTATCATTTTAGTTCCTAAATGTAGGAATCTCAATAAATTTTTCCTTGCCTGCACTCATCTTTCCTTACTGTGAGTTAATGAATGTCTACTAAATTTATTCTGGCTAGGAAGTCCCTTTAAAGACAAGGAACCAAAGCAGATTGCTTGGACTTTTTTTTCATTCCAGACAAGATAGGACAGTGTATCAGTAGGTGTTCTGCATCCCAACTGCTAGATTCAGTACAAACTGCATACAAAAAAAATAGTTAATGCAGCAGAATTACAGAAAAACAAAAATGTCAGTTCTAGAAATTCAGTTATACTTGACTTTAGGAAGTTGGTTTTTTTAATTTTATTTACTTGGTAATCCACAAGAGTTGAAATGTGTTGTTGTGAAGAGCACAGTTAGTTATTTCACCACTGAATCAAAACGCAATATTCTGTACTGATTTTAGTTCTGAAATCCATCAAGAGCTATCTGCTTACAGAGTAGGACAGTCTGAACAGGCAGAAAGCACTGACATCAAAACCTCTTGACCGGCATAATCAGTATTTCCAGCTGTAATGAAGATCCCTGATGCTTGGAAGAGTAAGAAATGAGTGGAGATTCTAGTTCATGTTTTATGTAGTTTATTCTGAAGTCTCTGAGGAGCTCAGCTTTGAATTTTAATTTCATTTTGTTGAAGAGTCTTCCTTTAATTGAAGAGTCTCAAAAAGCTGTAAAATCTGCCATGGCAGTCAGCCCTGATAACTTGTGTGTACTTCTTTGTTCCTGTTGATTACTGAGCTTTATTAAAAGACTTTATTTTTCATATTTGCAGGCATTTTTTGTAATGCATATATGTATTAATGGCAAACAGGGAAATTGAAGAGCATATTTGTGCATGCATGTGCATATATGTATGGATTTACATAAAAATCCATTGTATTTAAATAAAAAATGAGCTGCTCTTTCTTTCTGTGAGGAAGGAGAAAACTGAGACAGTTCTTTCTATAGTCACATCCCATCCTCCTGTCATGGCTGGTCTTGGGATTAAAGTGGAAGATGAGGAAAAAGTAACTTTTTTGAAGTTGCCTAGTAATACTGTACTCTACAGTTTGCACACCCAGGCCGAGAGAAGAATTTTACTGAGGCTCCAGTTATTCAAAAACACAGAATTGATAGAAGCGAGATTCTCTCTACCCCATAATTATCACTTTTGCACATGTGCACTGCTCAGTTTCAAGATTTTCAAGAACTGTGGGGTTTTGGCTGGTTTTTGGTTGGGGTTTTTTTAGGCTACTCCGTGTTCTTATAATACTTTGGTTTTGAAATAATGTTTTTTCTATGCAAAGGATTCCTAACTGCAATTGATGCAAGTCTGCAAATTGAACTGTAGAAATCAAGAAGAATGTCTAAAAGATGAGGAACAGTTAGGGTGAGTTTCATCTGCATTAATTTGCTCATCTGCAAGTTAGAATTCTGAGCTAGCTCCCTTCAGAGACAGCGGAAAGAAACAGATCAGATGAATCATCCTATGCAGGTGTCTGTTTTCTGACTGCTTAGGAAAACTGGCTTGGAGATCTTGCTTTTTGACATGTAGTCAGCTGACATGAGTCCAACCTGCAGTGACTACTTGTGAAAAAGTTCGGCTTAATTCTTTGAAATTAAATACCTGAGAACTCTTAAGTCAGAGGAGGGGTGGAAGTTCTCTAGACCGTTGCATGCTGTCGGTGCTGTTGGATTGTCCTTTTTCCTGCTTCTTTGTTACTTCCACCCTTTCAGCCTCCACAATATGAGGTGGTATTTCTACAAGCAGTGACCTATTAAACTAAACAAATGTGATTCCTCATTAGAAACCAGGGTACTTCTTACATGGATCCTCTTGGGGAGGGGAAGGAATAGTGTGTCGTAATGTAAATTAGGTCTATCATAAAGTACATCTGTAAAATAGATTATTTAGGGCCACTTAAGCAATCTTAATTCTGTTTTATCTTAATGATCTTCTCTCTCACACACACATGCATACAGAAATCTCTATATTGGAACATATATTTTTGAAAGAAGAGGACTGATACAAAACAAGATTATCATCAGTGTCACTAATGCCTATTCAGTATGAATTTGGAGCAGTCAGAGCCTGCAGAAATCCCTATTGCTGGGAGTGTCCGATAGCAGTTGAGATGTTGATAGCATATTGTGAGCTAGAACAACGTAGTTCTTTGGCAAATTTCATACTGTCAAAAGAACAAAGGAGCCAGATTTCTCAGCTTTATTCCGGACTTTGAAAAGGGGTATTCCTTAGTGAACACATGTTTTTCATGTAGCTTGAATTGTACTATCCTTCTTTCCTTTTAAGCATGTCTTCTATTTCGTTATTTTGGTTGGAATGCAAAATACAATTGTAATTCTGTAAGTGCTTGGAAGCATTGATGTCTTAGATCCTTACAGTATTTCCCTTGTCAGAAAAGATGCTTTGAAGGTATTCACTGAAATCTTAAGGGAGCCAGAGTTTCTTCTGTACTCAATGGAAAGAAGCTCCTGCAGAGGATGAATCTGAATTTCTCTCTGTTGGCTGTGCAGTGAAAGGAAATACCTGATTCAAGGTAATAGTGTAGATGGTCCTTGACTATCTATGTTTTAAAACTTAAGGACTGTGCTTTGTTTATTGTTAAGGTTATTTCTTCTGCAAGAATCCAGTAATAATTAATGTAAACATTGTTTTCAGCCAGCTAGTTTGAATCTGGACAGTGTTAAACTGTATAATATAATCCTCTTCTGTATTGCAGATGTTGACGTGAAGCTTCTAACATTTTGATTTTCTTATAGTTTGTGGTTTGAAAAATATAGCAGGGAATTACCAGGATTTATGTGTGTACTAAATGACAAGCAGTTTCTCTGCTCCTTGTATGGATGCTAATTCTAGTGTTTGTCTCTCCTTGGGAAATCAGATGGTCTTCTGTTTTGCTTAATGGATATTTTGTTTAAAAGGTTCTATGGATTCTTGATAACTAACTACAAGTCAAGGTCTGTATTCCCTCCTCCTTTTCCTGCCAAAATCGATCATTTTTCTATTGTATGTCATCTTTTCCCACCCTCTTCTTTAATTATTCTTTGTAGGCTACTTACCTTTAGCTCAGGACTTTGATCGTTTACTGGATCTTTTTTTGGTGTGTATTTTCAAGATCTCTTTTTATAATGTGAGAAATAAAAACCCTTGCAATTGATACAGCAGGTAGCAAGTCTGAATTCTTGTGGCATTTTCTTGTCCTTTGTGTTTTTTTCCAAGTTGGTAACAGTTACAGAAAGAGTGACACCATGTGTTAAGGTGAAGAATTTCACTTTTCTTGATTTACTTCCCATTTCTTCTTCAGTACTCTTATCCTTTACAGTATTTTTATCATCCATTAAATATTAAGATTTTCTGTATCCTTGCTTTGTCATGCTTTTTTATTTTCCATGTGTACATACAAGTAAAATTTCCACGTATACATTTTACAGGTCACTAGTTTATAACTAAATGTCCTTCAAGAGAAATTGAAGTATCTTTGAACAGTTTATTTTACTGATAAATTTTTGTTTAAATTTTGTTCATTCATTTAAGAAATGCACATCTGGGGGGAAAAAAAAAAAAAAAAAAGTTGGTGGAAGTAGCTGGAAACCCAGAGGGGTCTCCACAGGAAAAGAAGATGAAAGGATAGTACTGTGAAGATGCTGGTTATAAGCATCTGTGGTAGACATGTAGTATGGTGCAAGGAATAAAAGGTTGTCCTTATTTCTAAGAAAAAGAGTAAATGGTAAATAAATGAAAGGTGACATTGAAAGGCAAAATTGAAAAGCAGGATTTCTTGGAGAAAGGAAAAGGAGGCCCTTTAGGCCAATGTGTAGAACACATTGCAGTCAAGGACATAAAAATATTTAAAAGCGGTATTTTGCTGTTAATATAGTTTTTGAGATTATTCAGCATCCGGTAGGGTAAAATAGAGGCTTGCATGTGTTTAGTGTGTTACCTAGTCACAAGCACTTGAGGGGCTGAGAAGCCAAACGTGATTTCAGGATGTGCGTGCCCCAGCAATGACCCCTGCTGACACTGCTTGTGCAGCTGTGTGCTGGTGGCTATGTACATGCGGGGGAGTTGGTATTCAGCTGCTCCGTGGTGTTTTCTGCTTGAAGATCTGTTTTGTATTTCACTTGAGAAAAAGACACTAGGCTGGGTGGAAGCACCGTAGAAGCCAAATCTGCCCAGGGCCTGTCAGTTAGACCACATATGAGTCAGCATGTAGGTGCTTTGGAAGAAGAGACAAGGGATGCTAGTAGGAAGAAAAACTTTGGTTTGTACCATTGCTAAAGAAAAGGTGTTACGCTGAATCACAGAGGCTTGCTTGTTTGCTAATAGTAGTGTATTCTCTCTTTGCCTCCCATCTGTTTTTGTTGGTTTGTTTAGGTTGAATTTTCTTATCCTCCGCTAAAGCCTGGAGAAGGACATGACAGCCACAGTTTACCAGAGGAATGGAAATATTTGCCGTTTCTCGCCTTACCAGATGGCGCTCACAACTATCAGGAAGGTAAGAAACCAGAGAGGAAGCTGTATGTACTACTTCTACTGAAACCTAAAGAAAAATCCTGCCATCTGAACAGCTGATCAACAATTTTTTCCAATATTAGACTTCCTGTACTTCTTGTTTAAGCTGCAAAATGCATTGGCCAATGGTATGTTGCTTCGGAGTTTAAAGTAGATCATAAAGGTGTACCTCCTACATCAAGAAATCAGATACCAGTTAAAGCTTAAGGGTTGCATATCACCTGTGTGTATAGGACAAAACAAGGCTACCAGCTTTCTCAGAAGTTCTTTGAAAGGGGGAATAAACTCTTGGGTAAAACTTAATCCAGTTTTGAGGTAAGGGAAAATTGAAATTCTGAAATTCAGCTTTGTAATGTATGTGGTCGTTACGATTTTTTTTTTCCCTCCACTAATTTAGAGATTCTTAGAATGACCTACAAGTCATTCAATGTCTGTAGAGTAACATATTTTGAAAACCAGTAAATGTAAAGGACAGGAACAGGAGCTTTTGGGTATTTGACAACAGAATGAAGATAGTGATTCCTTTGCCACGTAGTAACCAGCAAGTTCACTGCAGGGTGGTGTTTTTGTTGTTGTTGTTGTTGTTGTTTAGTATTTGTTTAGTACTTCTGTGTTTGACAGCAGTTCAGTTCATTACCATGACATTTATTTGCATCTTCAGTTTTTTCATCGTTTTTTCTTCAGAGCAGTGAACAAGGAAGTCACTGAAAACAGCGAAATCAGGCAAAACCTGTAATACTAATTTTAATAAGTTGGGTTTTTTTTAACTTGATATACTTGGCTTCCTAATTCTCCAGCTTCCAGAGACCTCATTTGGAAGCAAAGGAAGTCATATCAAAATAATCCTTTCCCTAGCAGTAATAAGAGTGTCGCTGATTCTGCTCTGGATCATTATTTTTGTTCAACTTCTGTGTTGTTAAATACATAATGAGAAGTGGGCTACATTCAAAGCTAGGAAAATCGTAGGCAGCTGCACTTACTTGTTCCATCCCAGTTAATGCTCAACTTTGAGCATTTTTGTTGGTGCACTAAAAGATTGTCAATGTATACTTTTTGGTAAGAGAAAAAAAGACTTGGCAACAAAACAGATATATATATCCTTGTGTTTTGTAGGCAAGAGCACATGTGAACTTGAAACACGCAAATATGTTTCAAATAGTTATGTTACATTTACTGTAACTTTAGGTATCTATTTTTTGGGTTTTAAACTAGCTCCCACTGGTAGTTGCATTTTTGCAAAGAGGGTGACTTGGTACAGAAAGTAGTCTTTAAAGGCTTTCTAAAACCCTGGGTGATCTCCATAATATAATTGAACTTGTTCAAGCTTTGGTAGAAACTGTCCCTCTTTCTGTTGGACCTAATGCATATGGGATTGTCTCTTCTGTTCATTTTGTTACTGTGAAGCAAATGAAAAACTACTAATCAGTTTCAAAACAGATTTCATGCATGTTTTGAAAGTCAGTCATAATGTCTTCTTTACTTAGGATTTAACAATTTTTTGCAATAGTAGCAAGCATGTGTGTGTATAACTCAAGCCATGAAAGCCTTTCTCTTGTCATATTTTATAGTTTTTTTTATTTCATGTGACACTTGCACAGAGGCAATAATTATTTTGTGAGAGACTTGGATTCACAAATCCTTTTTGTTAGCCTAGTGGCACTGTTGCATGGATATCTACCTTGGCAGTGGTAGCAGCTTCTTTCAACTGTGTATGTCCTCCGTGGTGTTTTTTGTTTGTTTTTTTTTTTTTTTACTCCTGTCTTCATTGCATTTGCCACCTTAATGGCATCACGCTCCAAGAGTACACCTTGCCTCATCATGCCTTGTCTTTGCTCCACCATACTGAATTGGGAAAGCAGCATGCCTGTAGTTTTCAGTGGTGTTTCTCTGCTGTCAGTAGCTGCTTCTGAGAAATTGTCAGTGGGCTTATAGAAGCTTGGTCAGGCTAAACATGAAGCTGTTGTCAGAACATCCATATCAGCACAGATGGAGGTTCTTCTACAAAGGATCTTACAGTTTTGAAAAACTAACTTTGGTGTAGGCATAGCTTTATAGATGACTTTTTTTTTTTAAAGTCTCAGAATATAAGTGTGTCGGTATTTTTAGCAGTAACCCTTTTATAAGTAAAATACTGAAAAATACTGATACTGAAAATAAAAACGCTGAGCTTAAGAAACAATCTTTTCTTTTTCATAGATACTGTGTTTTTCCATTTGCCACCAAGATGTGGGGATCAAACCACAGTATATGGCGTCTCTTGCTACAGGCAGATTGAAGCAAAGGTAACTTTCCAAGTTGTGAATTATATTAATGAAATAATGGGCTTGATGCATTAACTGCCCTAAAATTCAGTGGCTTGCATTACACCATCAGTCAGTCTTCATGATCAACTTACATTAAAAATCTATGAAAATGGGCATAGTAGGTGCCTACAGAACTTGAGAACTATTTCTTTCCCTTATGTCAGTAGGCATATTATTATCTTTTGAAATGTTCAAGGCAACTGAAAAATATATTTTGGCTCTTGAGAGCTAATCCAAGCATCAGCACTAAGTAGCAAAATGAAGCTGCCAGTCTGTCAGGTGGCCAAGTCATGTTTCTAGGAAGTAGGCCTCTTAGGTGGAAAAAGTTGAAATTTCTCCAGTGTGTGATCATGAAGAATTTTATAGTATTTCCTGGGATCTGACCATACAAATGTAGTAATGTTTCTCTTCATCTACTTTCTTTGCCAAAAGTACTCTTGCAGAGTAGACCAGAGTATTCCCATTCATTGTAGCTGCTTACCAATACTGAACTTTTATCAGTAAAGCTGACTGGTGAGAGCTACAGTATTTCCCTGATCACACTGAGGAAATTACGTACTTGATCTACTAGAATCTGCCCATATTTCAAAAGTAGTAATGGTAGTGTGACCTGTGCACTTAGAATTGAGAAGCTACTACAAATTTCTTTAAACATTACTCCATTTTCCAGTGAAATGACAATAATCTGGAATGCCCTGTGGGTTTGAATTTTAAATAAGTCTTGTATTCAGAAGATGTAAACTATGTACTCTGCTTTAGTGTTAATCATACCTTGGTTGTATTTCAAGTTCCTGTTTATACTATAGGAGAAATTTTACACACACAGATTCTAATTCTGTTTCTTCTGAATTCATGTTGATTTTCAGCTGAAGTCATTATCTTTGCAGCCAGTCTTCACTATATTCTGTGATTTAGAGTCTTGCTCTATTTAACTATGCGATAACTCATATGTATTGTGCTCTTGATTCCAATTTATGGTTTTTAGTAACCAATTAAGATAAATAGATGTTTAAAATGAACTCTTTGGAACAAGTAGAATATAAAACATTGTGTTTCATATGACAGCTCTAGTATTCTTTCCATCTGTCCTTTTTGATGTGTGGGCTGCAGTCTGCACACTTGCTGTTTTGCACAATTAAGTGAATTGCTTAGCTGTATTTCTGCCCCCACTCTTTCTAGGTGCCGTTAAGTGCTGGAACCATTTGGTCTGGCTGTGTAGTTGATTCTGCAGATGGTACCTCCTTATTTTATGAGTGGCTCAAAGAAAATCATTAATCAAACAATTTCTGGGCAGAGACTTCATCCTGGTCCTTTTTCACAGATAATGTTAGAGATGAATGAGTCATGTGTTGTGGCTTCTCTTCTGTTACATTACCTTGAGTTAAAATGCCATTGCCTTTTCCAGGGCTATTTCCTTTTTCCTGAGCTAGTGTCTTTTAAACAGTCCTCTGCTTGTCAGCACAGCTGGTTTTGGATCTTTGCTGTGCACAGTGAGATGAGAACACAACTCTGATATATCAGTGTTATGACCATTTTTACTAGGTAAGGACATGCTGCTGCATGGTTTGGGTATTCCACCACTGAAGGCAGTCAGTTTTAGGATTTTTTGTTAAAATAGCAGGGTGGTATGTTGCAACTAAACCTGTGAAAGAATTATTTTTTAAATTCTGTGTGGGTAAAAATACTGTAATACTTTTATTTCTTAGGCATTAAAAGTACGGCAAGCAGACATCACCAGAGAAACAGTACAGAAAAGTGTTTGTGTTCTCTGTCAGCTGGTAAGAATTTTTAACTCCCAAAATGCTTTCAAATAACATTAAAAATTACTTGTTTTCCATATTCTTGTCTGGAACTTTTGGCTTCAAACATCTCTCTTTAAATTGTTGCAGAGAGTAACAAAATTGAATTGGAAGGCTGTGGCATTTGAGTGAGCTGCCTTGAACTGGTATCTCCTTGTAAGAGCAATTGTAAAAGTGTCTGCCTGTTGTCAGGGACCAGGATATCTATTTGCACTTTTGGTAATACTTAAGTACTAACTTTGTTTCATGTAGTAGGATTGCAGGGTTTGGCCATTGTAACTGGAGAGATTGGCTATTGACAACTGTGAAAGAGGTTTTAAAATAGTTGCACATACAGCATACTCTTGTGAAGAAACATTTATTTCTACCTATTTAGCAAAAGCTATTGGTCACCAGGCAGGGAACAGAAATTCTTTGTGACTTAGTTGAAGAAAGAACTATTACTAGAGCTGCACAAGCAGTGTTAAAGCAGGAAAGTACTTTTCCAGAAAGATACTCAGTGATGGTATGCTATGATGTGATGGCAAATGGCAAGAAAATAGAATTATCATTTACCATTTAAATTGAGCACAGGAGAAAGATGCGGCGAGTTAGCAACTAAGGACTGCTCCTCCATTAATTCTGTGTGTAATAATGTGTTTATATAGCAAGATAAGAATAGAAGATTAAAATTCAAAATGAGTGACAAAAAAGTTTTCTTCACTTGCTTTTGTGTTTGTTTTTCTTCCAAGCCTTTGTATGGGTTACTTCAGGCAAAGCTGCAACTCATTACACATGCGTATTTTGAAGAAAAAGACTTCTCACAAATTTCAATTCTAAAGGTAACTTTTAAATAACAGCCACATGGAACAAAGCTTTCAGTGTATGGCTACAGGCTTCAGGGATTTTAATTAGTGCTCAAATACTCCATTTGCATAGGTCGTTCAGGACTCAGCTGTTGTAATAACTTAATGTGAACCAAATGATATACCCTAACCTGACGGAGAGTCAACTTTCTGATTTGTAATGAAATACAAGAATGAGTGTGATTGTCAGCCTGTATCTCTGTTGCCTCCATTAGTAAAATTTTACTTTCTTTCTAGAATAAGACATTGAAATGCTTGAGTAAGTGGAATTTATTTATACTGGATTTTGTGCAACTGTGTGCCATTAACAGCTTCTGGGTTTTTTTGCCTTTCTTCTAACTCTTACAGGAACTTTATGATCATATGAATAGTTCCTTGGGCAGTACTTTGCTAGAAGGGTCACAAGTTTATCTTGGTAAGTGACTTTTTTTGTACAAGCAGTAGAGATAATGTTAACGCTAATCCACACATTCCCTTCCTGAGCTAATTTGTTTATATGCATTAACACATAAAGCACCAGAGGTCTGTGTGCCTGCACAGTATTGTTATGCATTTCTCTATTGATGGATTTAAATAAATGTCAAATAAATACAGTGTTGCTTTCATAATAGGTTAGCTGTAGGTTGAAGGCTATGTCACCTCTTGACCTAACAGTATGCAAGCAACTGCTTGGCTGCTTTTGGAAAACAGAACCTTCTTCATTTTTAAATGGAACTCTTTGATGGTATGGGGTGCTCAAGCAATCAATCTAGCTGTTATTTGGGATATTTCCCATCTGATTCTGACTCTTCCTTCTGTTTTCTGAAAGCACAGTGTAGTGTTTACTGCAGTGTTTCCGTAATGCTGTGTGGCAGCCAACTGGAGTAACTCAGAGCATGACTATTCATGTTATTGTCTTAACTCTTGCTCCTGCCCAAAAGACAGAATTTGATATGAGTTCTGCTATTGAAATAACCAGGTTCACACACATAATAGGTGTCCCCCTCCACCTGAAAAATGGTGACAAGAAGTAAGTTAGTATATTCACTGGCTATTAAACTGTAATAATTGCTCTCTTTTTGGTATCTCAGGTCTGTCTCCTCGGGATCTTGTTCTTCACTTTAGACACAAGGTGGGCATTCTTTGCTAGATATATGAAGTACAGCACTTATTTTGTGGAGTAAAATGCTTTGTGAGGAACTGAAAAATAAACATGTCTAGACATACCTGAGCTAGGAGTAAGAAGACTATTTCCTAAGTAGTTCTGGTTACGGCCTCCTGATTTCCCTTCCCCTTCCACCTGCATGACTTCAGTGAAAGTAAGTTCCAGACTGAGAACTTCCTTTGTCTGCTGGATTCCCTGGAGATTTCTAGTTTGTGTGACGTTTCTTTAGTCCAAAATGCAGGTGGTATCTCTGTTACGGTTTTGTTTCTATTTCCTGCTACTTGTCAGATGAACGTGATAGAACAATATTGCTAAAGCCTGTGCAGACACAGCTTGGAGCATTTTTCCCTGTATGTTTTCATTTTGGCAGCTTCTGCCATCATAGAGCCTGAGGGGACTTGCACCTCTCCTCCTTTTTCCTGATGGCTATTGAAATTGTGTATCCTATGGCTAAGGTACAAATGACATTTATAATCTTTTATTAACTGAGAGGCATCAAGGAAACAAGTTGAGAACCTGGATTTCATGGTGTATTTGTACCTGCTCAGTAGATTTTTGGGGTAGAACTCATTTTTGTTTAACTTCAGATGTCTGCCAGTTATGCCCCAGAAGCGTCTGTGTAGAGTCTTTGAGTGTAGAGAGTCTGGACAGCCACTTCTAATCTAGATGCCTCATCTGTGGATGTCTAAAATTAGGTGAGATGAATGCTGTTCTTGGTTTCTTGCTGAATTCTTTTCTGCATTTCTGTGGAGGAGCTCTTCTAGGTTTATGCAGTTTACTGCATTTTAAAATTCTGAAATTGCATAACATATTCTTTCTGGTAAGCTTTGTATGATTCAAATTACACAATTCTTATTCAGGTTTTTCTTTGTGCATCTCAAATGATGTTTCAAAATGTGTGCTCAGGTGGAGAAAGGGTATTAGAACACTGGTTTTCACTGGCCAAATGTATTTGATCATTTGACAATTATGCAGTGATTAACGTGAAATCTTGAATAGGCGATTATGCTTGAACTATATTTTTGATAAATGGCTTTGGTTCACTCACAATGTTTTTCCTTTTTGTGTTTTTTCAGGTGTTGATCCTTTTTAAATTGATTCTTCTAGAGAAAAAGGTAACGTTTTGTAGGCTGAGGCAGGTAATTGAAATAGAAATGCAATTTAAATTTCTTTTTTCATATGAAGGTTATGTAGAATATACTAGTGAACAAAAAAGTATCTGAAGTCATATCAACAACTTTGCATCTATATATAAATTGGAAAATTATGTTCAAAGTACCTGTTGTGAGTTGATGTATAAATTTGCCTCTGCTTCTGTCCGCACTCCCCCTTATTAATAGCTGCTCCAGCCAGAGTAAGTAAAATGTGAGTACATGTGAGTGGAGAAACTTAACATGTTATAAAAAATAATGGAGGATATACATAATGCAAATAGGTACCCGTGTGAAGGAACTAATGGGAGATGCTGGTACCTAAAAGGGAGCATACACCTTTACAGAGATTCAATAAGTAGAACTTCTGCTTTGGACTTTAAAAAAGCATACCAAAGGAAACAAGTACTAGGAGTGGCCTTCAGACCTGAATTGCATGGGCACCTGCAGGAGACAATGTAGAGAGCTGTATCTGTAGGTCATCTTGAACTCAGATGAGAAATTGTTAAAAATTACTGAATTCTAGAATCGGTGCTTTCTTTAGGTTGTTTTACTGCCTCAGAAGCAGTGCTATTTTAGTAATTTAAGGGGAATATACAGAAGGTACAAGCAGATGTGAAAAGGTAGGTACATTTGCTTTCTTCTGTGTGTATATTAATATCCTGGAAAAGAACTTTCAGTGAAATTACTATGTATCAGCTCCCAGACACATTTATGCTGGGAATTTTTTTTTGTTTTGCTCTTTAAAAATTATTGTTTAAAATTTTGTTTCAGTTTCCAAAATGTCACTTTCTTCAGTAAACCTGCTATGTTAAAACCCAGCTTCTTCAGGGTGCTGAGAAGGAACATTAGAATTTCCTGTTAGCTGCAACTGGAAATTCAGTAGGACTTAATCTGTAAGATACTGAAACAGTTGTGGGGTTTTTGTTTTGTTGTTTTTTTTTTTTTTCAAAGTCTATATCCAAGGTCTGTAAATATGGCGAAGCAGTAAATATGGCTTTTAAAAACAGAAGTAGCCACTTCTCCAGAGCTTTTGCACTGTCAGTTCTGTAAGTTAGATATACCTTGACAGTTCCAAGTATTGATGAGAATAAATGCAGTTTCTGCATTAAAAAGCCATATGCTAAAGACTGCTATATTAAAGACTATGCAAAAGGTATGTTTGAGGAAATGATTGTGACGTAGTAGGAGTACACATGTAGAAATGTATGTAATCAAGACTCGATGTGCAAGTTTTTTTCTGAAAAATAACAATACATTCTGAAAGTCTATGGTGATAGGGTTTTTTAAAACCATAAGCAGAAAAAATATTTTCCAGTTAAGATTTCGTGAAGTATTTCTACTGATCTGTTTAAAAAATTATGATAGCATTTCATCAGGTCAGTTCAACATTTGGACATTCATAGCTCAGTACAGCATTTAGTTTGTTTCTTTTCTGAAGCTGCTCAAACCATAAGGGGATAAATGCATGAAGAGGGGAGAGGAAGGGTTTCTCAAGCATGTTCATATGACTCAAACATGCAAAATTATTTTGAAAATAATTGGATGCTTATTGAATAAACCTGCAGGTTGCTTTGTTTTTGTTTTTCCCTAAACTTCAAAAGATAGATAACACTTGTAATTTCAAAAAGAAGTGTTTTGGTTTCCTGGCGCTGCCTGTTGTCTGGCAGATGATAAGGTTCCAGAGTAACTGAGAATCTGTATGTTCAAAGACCTTAAATACAATATGCAAGAAGCCATGAGTAATGCCAGTTTTCTTTGAGCTGAAAATGCCACAGATGGATTTCCATTAATCCGTAGCAATTTGGATGATGCCTTTCCACAGGCTAAAGGATTTTATTTTTTCACCTCTCAGCTGTTATTAGGCTGGAAGACTACTTCCAGATGGTGATCATTGGACTTTCTGCTGCAAGGACCACCCAGTTTGCTGATGTAAATGTTGTAAGCCATGTAATGGGGTTGGGAGGGGTAAGGAAGTGTGCACCCATATAGATGGAAAGATGGCAAAGGGACTTGATAGAACAAATATAGAAAAGTACTCAAGCGGTATGCCCAAACAAAAACCTAGACTGAAATAGATTTCTTGAAAACAACATGTTACTTCATAGACTTAATTATTTCTGTAGGCTTAAAAATAAGGTTGGCTAGGAATACATGATATCTGAGAATCTAAACCTGTAGGGGTGTCACAGGGTTTCTGTTGTAGTTCACTGCCATTATATCATGCATCTTTGATACAGGCATTGTAGAGCGGCATCTTAGAAGAAGTTAGACTTTTTTTATTCCTATTGCAGTCAGCTGAAATTTTTTACTCAGATGAGCTGCTTTTTCTCCTCATCATGCTTTTTCTGTGGCTGTTTCAATTTGAATTCATTGATCTCGAACTTAGAAAAAAGAAAAATTGTACAATATACAAAGTCTATTTCTAGCTGAGGTACTGTTAAACATTTGGTATGTATTAGGACTGCATAGGTCTTTCTCTTGGCTCCATCAATCTACTAACTTGTAGACTTACAAAATCAAGTGGAACATGAGTTACTATTCGTCGCTTCTAAAGTGTCTTCCTACCTTACAGCAGAAGTCTTTTATCAAGTCTAAGTCCGCAAACTTGCACTTTTAATTATACAATTATTAAACTTGCCTGCAAAGTTGTCAATGTTAGATCATTCTGTATTCTTTTGCATTGTTGATTCCTTGTAATGCTCATGTATTTTTTACTAGTGTTGTGCTGCTTGAGGATGTAAAAATGGCATTGATAAACAAGCTGACTTCTGTGGGGTTTTCTTGGTTTGGAGTGGTTTGGTGGTTTTTTTTCTTCCCACCTGAAGGCCTGTCTTGGAGGAACGCCAGTAGTAATATTCAGTCTGCCTTGTGTTTCTCTTTCATTGCTAGTCTTTGACCATCCCCCTTTTGAATTCCTGATAAATTTACTAATCCCAGTCTCTGTTTTAAATAAGAAGTTTCTGTTTTTTCATGTTATGCCTTAAGTGCTTCACCAAAGTTAGTCATGTTTTATGTTTCCAAAAGGTCTTTTTTTCAATCATAGAAAAATACCTATAATAAATGCATGCTGCATTTATCCTGTTTTTCATTTGTCTGTATATCTTTAATATATTTTCTTAAAAGAGATGTTTTTGCTATAGGTTTTTCTCAGAAATCTGGAATGCGAGATTATAATATTTGGCCTCTTTGATTTATAACAGAGACTTTACTACAAATGAATAAGAATTTATGCAGCATGCCAGGAACAACTCTTTTCTGTCAGTCATTCAGTAACTGGATCAATTTGGGAAAAAAATTTTGAATGACTGACAAAAATCTGAATAATTGACAAGTATATATTACATGTGTGTATATATATAAAAATATTATATATTACAAATACAAAATATAAGGATACAATAGCCATATTTATTTTCTTTGAATTGTTATAAGATCTTCTGTTGGTAAGCAGACTTTCTGAAATAACATAAAAGGCAATGCCTTGAATAGTTTGCATGTGTTCTGTCTATCTCTGTCATGCTTAAGTGTAACTTTATTTTTCTCATTCTTTCTTCCCTAATTCCCCTTTTCTCTTTCACATGTTGTCTTCCCCCACCCCCCTCCCCTCCACCACTAGGTGCTGTTTTATATTTCTCCAGTAAATAGATTGGTGGGAGCTCTGATGACTGTCCTGTCACTCTTTCCTGGTAAGAAGAGAAGTTTGGACTTGTTTTTATATGCTTTCTGGTGATAACTGAGACAGGCTGTACTGTTTTATTTGGAAAACAACTTATGTGACAGTAGAGTTATGTTAGTATGTTACCTGAAAAATAGGTGGCTTGTATACATATCTGTGTACTATGTACACATCTCCTAATACTTAATACTTGTACTCTATGGGTTATTATTTCTTGTGCTTAATTGGAGCCACTGGATCTTCTGTACTGCCTGTGGTTAACATAGTTGGGAACCTGAATAAGTCACGTGTTCCTGTCATGTTCCTTAAAAAAAAATGCAAATCTCTCTCTTCCTTCTACATGTATTCTTCAAAAAAAGGAGAAAACCAACCAACAAAACCACAACTCCTAACCTTGCCAATTCTTAGCTTCTAACCAGGCTTTTCAAAGCAAAAAAAGTTGGGGCAGATTCTTTAGAAGAGGAAGTATGGGCTTTGATTTTTGGTTGGTTTTGTTTCGCTTGGTTTAAGACACCCGCACACACTCCACATACCTCCAAGTAGCGTTTTAAAATTTGTGATTTCCACTATGCACATAAGAACACTTTGTTAATTTTTCTTTAACAAATTCACTTAAATTTCTGTTGAGATGCTGATATTCATGTCTGCTATCGTTTTCCAGGTATGATTGAACATGGTCTTACTGACTGCTCACAGTACAGACCAAGAAAGAGCATATCAGAGGATGCTGGCCTGCAGGAAAATACACCACGGTTCCATGACTGTGTTTCTGTGTCTGCTGCTGATACTTCAAATACAAACTCAGGAATGGGAAAGGGAGGCAGGAGTATGGGAGGAAACCATTCGCTGGAAAGTCAAAAAGCTAACACACCTCTCTCTCAGTCAGAGAAGACTTATAATGGATCTCAGTCCTCCAGTTGTGCTGTGCAGCGCTTGAAAGTTCCTTCCCGCGCTTCTCCAGTGTCCTCTGAAAGCGACTGGGAGACCTTAGATCCTAGCATTTTGGAGGACTCTAATTTGAAAGGAGGAGAACATGAAAATACAGCATCAGAACAGGCTAAAGATCTTCCGTGCAAAGGCGTGAGCTCGGAAAGCCTTCCAATCACTGTGCAGCCCCAAGCAAATACAGGACACACGGTGTTTGTTCCAGGACTAATATCTGGGTTGGAAGAGGACCAGTATGGTATGCCATTGGCTATTTTTACAAAGGTAAGCACGTTGTTTCTGATACCTGGTAACTCATAAAGACATCTGTTTTTCAGAAGTGGCTAAGTGCCTAAGTCACTCTGGCAAGTGACTGTTGCTAGGTGGGTGGAAAGCATGAGTGCGTGTCTGAGGGTGCTGTGTGCACACACACATGCATTCCACTTTTCATATGTATAATTAAAAACTATTTGCAATTCTGCATGATGGTAGCCTGCAGTCCCAGTGTGGTTAATAAATGATATGTATTAGTAACTACTGTTTTCCTCTGAAGAACTGTAGATCTTGCCCCATATAGGTTAGATCAGAGTACTTAAGAAGTGTTTAGATACCTTAATCTAAACTAAGATTCTGAAAGCTATACTAAGCTGACACCTAAGCCTATGCTTTCCTCTTTTAATTTTTATATATATTTATAAATGTGTGTGTAGTAGCACAAACTGTGTGTATAAATGTGTGTATATATACACACACAAATATAAATATGTAATATATAAATACTTCATATATATATATATATATATATATATATATACACATACACACACACACACACGTTCGAATGCCTGTGAGAGGAGAACAGAACAGCTTTTTAGGGTTTAACGGCAACCCAAAATGCAGAACAAAGCCTCGCTCCCTGGGGTTTAACGGCAACCCCAAATGCCTTACAAAGCCCTGCTACCTAGGGTTTAATGACAACCCAGAATGTTTTATCACTCACCTGACAAGTGAGGGCTCTCGACCTCGAGGACCTACTCAGGGCAGTGTCCGGACCCAAGGCACCTCGAGGAGTTTCCTTGGGCAGCACCCTGACCCAAGGGGAGAGTCCTGGACCACAGCTGCTCTTCCAGGGTATGAGCTCCAAATGCCTCCCCAGAGGACTCCATTTATACCCAGGCCCAGTTTGACCTGTAGTCAATAGCGGCTCTCATTGGCCAAAAGCCCCAGTTGCCACGATGCCCTGAGAACAAAGGCAGCCCCGGGCTACTACACTTCAGCAGCCAAGAAGCTCTGCTTTCATTGGGTGGATGCACCTGCCACACTGGTTTCCTATGAAAAACAGGGAAAATGTCCCGTTAGAGATTCTTTTGTCAGTAAAAGAATTCATATAATAAACCCGTTTTGGTTTTTAATGTAATAAGTTTAGATGAACTTTTGCCCAGAAAGTAGATTCAGATTAATTTCCTCAAGCTGATGAGGTTCAAACTGGTGTTTTTTCCTTTGGAGGTGCTTATTACCATTTCCTTACAGAACGTTGTATTTGATGATTGTGTTTGAACTTCTCACAGTAACTTTTATTGGAAATGGTATGCTATGTGGGCCCAAGTGAGCAGCTCAAATGTCATTGCCCTGTATTGCCTCATGTCACTGTTAGAAATGCTTTTTCAACAAAGATCTGCAGTCTGGTGTTTGTCCTTACATTCTCTAATGAAAATAATAGCCTGTAAATTGTATTTAGCCTAGTTCTATTGAAAGCAAGAAGAAAATAATTGATAAGGGAGCCTACAAGTGCAAACGTAGATCGCTGCTGAGATCATAAAATGGAAAAGTAAACAATTTTAAGGAAGTGGACAGTTTCTACATGTTTACCTTCTGTTCCACAAGGGCACTTTTCATTTGAGTTCGTCCAATGTAATTAAAGCCGAAAAGGCTTTATTACATCTCTAAGCTATCAGAAAAATGTGATTCAAAGTTATAAAGTTTATAGTTTAACTGCTTACTGGAAAGTTTAAATCTCTTTTACAGCTCTCATCTCAGGGTTTTTTTAATGCCATATTGTGGAAAGACTAGTAAATATGACAAACTTGAATGGGAGGAGATTTTGCTAGATAGCTGAATATATTACCCAAGTACACCTAAGCATAAGGAGAAATAGGTTGAGATACTTGTTTCTTTAGTGCCAGTACTGTAAGATCCTAATACTCATTTCACTTGCACTCTTTTAAAAAGAATGGAACACGTTCACGGAAATAAAAGTTGTTATACTTAGACAAACGTGAGTTTGGGAACTGACATTTGATAATTTTTAGTAGTGAAGTATTTCCAGGACTTTACTACTTGAGTATACAGTAATTAAACCTTCCTTTGCCAGCTTCTTAAGCCACATTTTTTGAAAATTTTCCATTTTAGGTTGGTGATTCTTCTCAAAGCACCATTGTCCCTTTGATACAGACTGTTTTCAACTGTTGAATGCTTGTCATCTGGAAAGCCATCCCTGTGCCTAATATAACAAAAGGGAGTAGTTGTGCTCCTTTCTTCCATATGTTTCTAATTACCGTGGACTCTGTGATAAAGTGTGTGTGCACTTTGTTTCTGTCCAGTATGCAGTTAGCCCTTCTGGGTTTCTACTAGTGAATAAATTGCTTGGTGCTGCATACAATTGAACAGCTGGGGTTAGACTTCAGTATTAGACTTCAAGGGTGTGTTGATCCTATATTTAAAAAGAAAATGCCATTACGTGCAGCCATTTCTAAATGATCTCTCAATGACTTAGCCCAAAGCCTTTCTTCAAACTGCTGTGCTGTTTGTTGTTTTTTTTTTCTTAATTGGAATGTGGGATATTAGATTAATTTACAAGCATGAAATCGCTAAAAAGCGCAGTGTATTACTTTCTGTTCTGCTCTTTCCTAAACGGGGCATGCGTATGCTTAGCAAAAATTGATTAGTATCTCTGGAGCCTGGAAACCTCCACCTACAAAATATAGATAGCAGTCTGTAGCTTTACTGCAGTATGTGCTTCAGGACTATGAGAAGACATCATGGTATGCATTTAGAGAGATAAATCTTTATCTCCATTGACTTCTTGTCTCTGAACTGACCTGAGACCTCACTCCTGTTCTATACTGCTTATTCTGTTGCCTTATAAACACATTTGATTCCTGTCCTTTGGATTGTATTGAAGTTTGTCCTGAGACTGAAAGGCAACACAACCTCTTGAAAAGTTTAATTCATGTGTAATCTGGTTGCTTTTCTTTGCAACTGTAATGTAGCACAACAGTGTATAACTGTGTCTGAAACTGCAATACCAAGGTTTGTTTTGGGTGGAATGTGCTGGCTTTTATTAGAAAAATCTCTGAATATACACATTTTTGGGTTTTTGGCCTTATGTTAATCCTCTAACTATCTCTGTTACTTTAGGGATACCTTTGTTTGCCATACATGGCACTGCAGCAGCATCACCTCCTGTCAGATGTAACGGTCCGCGGCTTCGTTGCAGGAGCCACCAATATCCTGTTCCGTCAGCAGAAACATCTGAGTGATGCAATTGTGGAAGTATGAATCTTTGCATTTGAACTTACTGGACTGGAGCGGGGGGGAGGAGGAAGCAGAGGTTGCATTTTAAATACAGCTTTAAAGTTTTACTTTCATGCTCAAATTTTTAATTATTTCCCCATGAAAAAAAATCTTAAATGCAGAAGCTTATTAAATTTGTTTCATTATTTAGGATGGGATTAGATAAGCTATGCAAAACGAATACATGTTTTTCTGTATATTCTTATATGCAATATTTGAATTTGCAGGGCACTACTTGAATTTTTATTTTGTTGCTGGTGTAATTCTGCTTTTCATGTCATGGACTTTTTACATGATTTTCTATTAAAGTATTCAAAAATAAGCTGAGAAACAGATAAAGATGGGTAATAAAACACATTGCTATTGACTTTCTTCTGATTTAATCAAGAGGTTAAAAAAAATCTAAGAAAATGCTGTGTCAGTACTAGAAAATAGATACAACTATATAATCGACATCTGGTAACCTAAGAGAGCTGCATACAGGTAACCAACTTAATAAGTTGAAGTGATAATCAAAGAGCTTCTAGGAAAATAAGTGTAAGCACCAAATGTCCCCTGCAAAATCCTGTCAAGTAAGCAGCTTCTACTGTGAGCCGGTAAGATGATCAGATTCTGGTTATATCAGAGCAGTATCTGACTTTCTGAGAATGGTTAATTTGTGGGGTTTTTTACTATTTGTTGTTTCATGATATTTTGGGGGACTGTGTGTTTAGGTAGCAATATATAGTAGTGTATAGATAAGCAGTTTTATCTAAATGTTTACCCCTGGAATTATTTCAAACAGATAGAAGATGCTCATGTACAAATCCATGATCCAGAACTCCGTAAGATCCTGAACCCAACAACTGCTGACCTAAGATTTGCAGACTACTTGGTGAAGCATGTAACTGAGAACAGAGATGATGTTTTCCTTGATGGCACTGGATGGGAAGGAGGAGATGAGTGGATCAGGGCTCAGTTCAGTGCTTATCTTCATGCACTGCTTGCTGCTGTGCTGCAGCCAGGTAGGACACATACCTTGTCTAGGGACTGGGATGAGAGTGGGTGTAATAAGCATTTGCTCTGTTGCATTAAATGCATGGTCTGTCATTAGATCTCCCTCTGTCTAACACTTTATTTTAGGCTGCTTTTTTTTTTTTTTGTCCTTGGCTATCCTTGTTTATTCCTTGACAACCTTATTTCTAATTCTTCACACAGACACTTTCTTCTTTGACTGTCTCCTTCTCCTTGATGTAATTAAGCTTTCCTCAGAAGCAGAAGTACCTGAAGCACCATATGTGATGAGACTTACAAACATGGGTGTCTGACAGACTATTGCAACCTGAAGTTAATTTTGGGGAACTAATTGGGTTCAGGGAGACATGAAGTTAAGTGACTGTCTTCAGGAAGTTCTACTAAGCTGTTCCATCTCTTTTTCCTTTCCTGCCGTGGCCTTAAGTAGGGATTCACATAAGTGGAAAGTGAGGCTTTATAAGCCTGTGTTTTCTGGAGCTCAGCATTTTTTCGTCTTAACTCAGAATTCTCTATGTTCCAACCTTTTGTGCATGAATATAACTAAAAGAATCAGTTTTGTTTGTGAAAAACATTCGGTTTGTCTAGAACTGACCCTGTTAACTTCATTCTCATCATGATTATTCTCTATTCACATCAGTTAACTAATTCAGATCTTGTTCTGTAGTATTTGTGAGAAAACATGGGATTGAGAACTTGGTTTTAATGTCTGGACGATGCTAAGTTCTTAGCCTCATAACATTAATACTTTTAAGATGATATCAGCCTGGGTCATATGAAATGTCAGGTTTTTCTGGAAACTCGTACTACTTCACTGGCTGGCTCTAAAATTATTTCCTGTACTCCTCAGTGTTTTAACGGGGATGTTGTTAGGATAAGTTTATTCCACAGTAGTTCATACCACAGTTTTATAGTGGGTTTGGGGTTTACTAAATTTGAATGAGTAATAATATAGTACAGAAAAGCCCAGTGTATCTGACCAAGACCAATGCAAATGATGTTTCTGTTCTTAGTTGCTGTGTGGCCATTCTCTCCCCTTTCCTGTCTTTGCCCAGAGAGGAAGTCAAGAGGCCTATGTTTGGATGACTTTTTCTTTTTTCCAGTTGAGCTTTTTACTTAAAACTTTATAAATTAATTAAAAATAAGAAAAGTATTTTTTCAAGCTTTTTTTTTTTGATGCTTGTTCTGACATTGAATATTTGGGCCACTTTAAAAAATAATAAAACACTTTGAGTGCTCAGTTCTTAGTACTAGAGGTTTAACTGTTGATTTGATAAGAGCCTGGAAAATTTTAACTTTTCAAAAAAAAAGGTAATTTATCTTTTATTATGTCTCTAATGAATCAGAGCAAATTCTTATCTTTATCAGACAACGAAAAAACTTTGTCAGACTTTGGAACAGCTTTTGTAGCAGCCTGGAAAAATACCCACAACTACAGAGTATGGAATAGCAACAAGCATCCAGCTCTTGCAGAGGTAAATTCTAGGTAAGGAAATTTCTTTTTTTTTATTTAGCATTTAACATGGATTGCTCCCAGTATGTGTAGTCAGGCACACTGTTCTGTACAATTACAGTGTTCCCCCATTGTTCCCGCTATAAAGCCCTGAGGGTGAAACTTTGGGGCCCTAATCTGTAAGTATAGAAACTGAGTATTTCTGTTCTTCAATACATTACTCTAATTCTGGGCAATAGTTTTATGAAGAAAAATATATCCAGAGACAGGAGAAGTGAAACTTGTTCAAGTTGATTGTTGGCTGTCCCCAGCTATAGAAAGTTTGTCATTCCTCAGGAATTGTCCTCAGATGGTTCTGCTTCTTATTAATTGCTTCCAGGTGTCTAGGGAGTAGCTGTGTCCAGGGTTGTCACTGATGGGGATCAGGGAGAGCTGGCTGTTCTATATTGCATCTTCTGTGCTTTGGATTGTTTTATGTGTATTTTCACTCAAAGATTAGATGATGCCAGGCTTGGTAACATTGTTGGCTATGTGTGTGTTTTGTTTAGCATGGGTTATTACTGTACTGCAGGGAGTTTTGTTTGCTTTTGTTTTGTCAGCTGCTGTAGTCTCAAGAAGGTTTTTCTTTAGAGCTACAAAGCTCTTTTAGTCTAGTTAAGGGATTTTTCTTTTTATCTGTGTTTCTAGAAGGAGGTGCCTCTGCCTTAGTGTGAAAAAATTATTAATATCTGGCCTGTAAACAGGAGGCACCTTACAGGTAGTTCATAAGAAATCTAAGGTTGAATAGTCACTGGGACTTTGCCTTCTGGAAAGTGGTACAGTAGTGTATCTACAAGCGATATTTTTGTTGGTAAGCCACAGAGGAGTACAACCAATAATTGTGTGACATGGATTCATCATGAAAAAATAAATACTTGGGTTTTTCTTCCTCTTCTAGCCACCCATTCCAGGGACAGTACTCTGTATCAGATGTTAAGTTAAGATTATCACAGTAAGTATATAGTACTTCGGTATTTTTGTAAAAGTGTGGTCAAATATTAATAACTGCATAACTGTTGCTATGATGAACTAATCAAAATAATTATTTAAATTGGCCCTATACATGGAGCTATGCTCAACATTCTTGTGCAAAACATCACCACATCTAAAGATGGAACATTTGCCTGAAATAGGGAAGAACAGTGCTGATGCACTACTTTATGTTGAACTTCAGACAATAGAGCCCTATTTTTTTGCATTGCAATTATAAGGCTTTTGTATATTTATTTTTAAATTGTAAACTAAAGCTGTTAAAGCTTTCATCAGTGTTTTTCTGTATATCGACTTTAGATCTCATTATTAGGAGAAAACAGGTTTTGAGTTGTGTTTTTTTTTTTAAATTAGCTGGGTTTTAATAAGCATTTTTCTAAAACGCTCAAAGTTCACTGTATATATACTTGAGACGATTCAGTTTCTCGAATTTAGAAGTTTAAAATGAGTTTTACCTAATCTCTTATTGCACTGCACTCAACTTTAAGTTGGGCTCAGTACTTACTCGCCGGTGTCAACTCTAAAACTCAGTGGTGTGTGTTATTCCCATAGTTGTTCAGCCTTAACTGAAGCCAGAATTCAGTCTTGAAGTTGCAGTTAACCATCTCCTCTTGTTTATGCACCAAGGAAAATACATTGTTTTCTCACTTAGCTCTGTTGACCATAAAACTTCAGATGCTGGTTCTGAGATGCTTGTAAATCAGCAATATATACACGCTGCTGATTCTGCACCTGCCTTGACTGTAGACTTATTTTCAGTACCCTGTGAGTAGGCCTAACACATGCTGACATAGAACAGCTTGAGGAATAAAAAGGTTCAGACTTCAGCCCACTGAATCTTTTGGTTGCTTTTGCTGACCAACAGCAGATTAAATTTCTGAGTTGGCGATTGAGAATGTAAATGAATCAAGATTTATCTCAAGGTAATTGGTTTCAATAAAGAGCATGTTGATAGCAGGTCTTATTGTTAATGGATGATCTCTGTAGAAAGACTTTATTTGGAAGATGAGGAGGTGTCTATAATCTTTTATTTGCCCTATTTTTGTCTTTGAAAGGAGAGATACTAACTCTTCTGAGTAGCCTGAAATCAATGTAAAAGGATGAGTAGTTCTTAGTGTGTCTCTAGTAACTAATATTTTTATAAGAGTGCCTTTATTCTCCAAATGTAACTTTGCTATCAGATACTCATCAAAATTACTTGCTTTTGCAAACTGAGCCTAAACTTGTTCTTGGTGTACTCTGTTCTTTCTGCTTTTTGTATCTACGCTGAAGATTTTCAAAGTGGGAAAAGAATGTGGCGTGCTGTGTTAAACTTTGCATAAATGCATTTGCAAAGCCTGAAACATGGACTTCAGTGTGACAAGTTATTTAACAGAAGTATGAATGTAAACTGTACTTGATCAAAAATTTAATCTTAGGGCAAGATACAAAGTAAACTCTATTTAGAGAAAAGAATGATCATAACACTGTTTTGTTTAAAGCTTGTATATTAGGACTAAAACTTCTCAAAACTACTTCAAATCTGACTTGTAATTTAGAACATAAGTGTATTTTGATAAACATTTAGGAAAGGTATAAACTTTGGGTAATAATGAACCGTGGTGTGTTTTGATTCCTGTCTTGCTGTCAGTACCTTTTCTTCCTCCGAGAAGCTTGCTGACCTGATCTCTGTGGATAGGATGCATGTAGTCATTATGGGCTTGATCAGATAGATAGATATACACACACACACACACACACACACACACACACACACACACACACAAATATATATACGTATGCCATGTAAATCTCTTTGTATTGATACGTATTTTAACTATGTATTTTATTTACACTTGGAAATAATAAGTCAACTAACAGACTTCAGTATCTCTCTTAGCTCTGTGCAAAACAGTGAACGTGGAAAGAAGATTGGAAATGTGATGGTTTCTACTAGTCGAAATGTTGTACAAACAGGAAAAGCTGTAGGTAAGTAATTTATTTAAAAACAGCTTGCATCTAAGCCGTAAGTTTTTGTGTTGGTTTAAGCCCTGCCGGGGCTGGAGAGCATGTTGCTGTTGCACCTCCCCCACCCTCAGCCGGTCGGGCTGAAAGTTAAACACAGACCCTGGCTAAAATAAGAAGAAATTTAATACAACAGTGTGATAAAACAATCTGAACAACAGTGGCAATGATAACAACAATAAACAGCAATAACAGTGAACAAAACAAACGATATACAGAGAAATACCGCAAATGGTCATGGAACAGGTTCCTGCCACCAAGCCCACCAAAGAGCAAGTAAAAAGGTTCCGCCCCTGGATCTGATGCTAGCATGGTATGAATAACCCGGCTGGAGATCCCTTCCTCCTCTCTCTGCTGGGGAAACCTAACCCTATCCTAGTTGAACCGGGACAATTTTTTTTGAAAAACATCCTATATCTCACGTATTTTAATCCAAGTGTACTTAACAACATACATACAAAACAGCAACACTTTGAGGGGTAAAGCTGCTGATTGAGGCCCTGTATATTGTGTAGTGGAAAGAAAAGCAGCTAGACAAATTAGTGTAGATTCCTTTTCCAGTGTGGGCTGGAGGTGAACATGGGAAGAGATGTTCAGGTGAAAGCTTTCATGTGATCTGGAAATGCTCAGACCACAGCACCACCTTCTGCATTGAGCTTTTCTCATTTTTATATCACTTTGAAACTATCCAGAGATGGCCAAAATCGGAGGAAGACATTGCATCAGTTTTTGCATGTTTTGCAATAGTTTGCAATTTTCTGGAAAAGCACTTGTACTTGAACTGGGGCAACATCATATTGTCGTCTGGCAGTGCAAGATAATGCGAGTTCACCCACTGAAGAATCTGATAGTTGTTCTTCAGTAGCTTTGCAAAACATTGTTTAGCTGCTTTTATTCCATTGGTCTTTCTACTCTTTTTGCTGCTGTATACTCTGGCAAGGAGTGTCTTTTGGCCTGAAGTCTACCAAGCCTTCCAGGGCAAAGGACAGCATAGGCCATATCTGCTGAGCTACTGTGTTCAAGTTCTTTGAATATTTTCTGACACGGACTCCAGACTTGGATTTTATTTTCCAAACTGGACAACTGATTGTGTATGGTTTTTTTATATTTCTTTGTAGTAGCTCAGTAATGGTAACACTATGCTTTGACCTTTCTCTTGTGTTGTAATGCAGGTCAGTCAGTTGGAGGAGCCTTCACAAGTGCGAAATCGGCCATGTCATCGTGGTTTTCCACTTTTACGCAGTCAACCCAAAGCCTCGGGGACTAAATTATGGTTTTGCACAGTGCTGCTAATATTTCAGGTGTAATGCTTTTTTCTGAGCTGTAAAAAGACTGCTCCGAAACATAGGAGTGGAGATTAAATACCCAGGACCAAAACAAAGTATAAGGTTGCTTGCAAGCAGACATGGAATGTCATCATTCAGTTTCACTAGAAACACAGAAGAATGGTGAGTGTCTCCATACAATGGGATGGCATTTGCTGTATATTGGTTGTATTTAAAATGACTACTTTTCTTTAAAACTGAGCCTTTACAAAGATACTAGTAAACAAGGCTTGTTGCAAGCCAAATGTGTTTGACTTTAGATTTGTACATTTTCTTGGATGTTGATAATATTTATGAAAACTAGTTATATTTTTCAATCCGAATAGCCAAATATTTGTGAATTCTGGTTAGAAATAAGCAGAGTATATATACTGATTCCTCTTTCAGGTTGGATTTGAGAGCATCTCTGCGAAAAGTATATGGTGGAAACCCTGAAAGGGTTCCAAGCCAGGTAGAACTTTCTCGCTTTCACATGCAAACTAAAATCAGCGGGATGCAGAGTAAGACTGGCTGACTTAAGGTGTTTTTTCCTTTCTCCTCTGTAGCCATGTACAGTTGTTTGTATTAATCTGGTTTTAGCTCTCTTTATGTCCCCAAATCTGTGACAGTTGCAAAATCAGTATTTTTCTTGATGTTATGCAGTAGACCTTCATAACTTTACATATGTGTTGGCTGTGCTTTTACATGAATGGGATTCCGGTAGGAGAGACCTCTTCAAGAGAAGTATTACAAAACCATTCTCCCGAATTGGGATTGGATCACAGACAGTTTTCTGAGGTCTTGTTCTATTAGGACGTAATTACACAATCAACGTAGTTACATACCTAGGAATACAAAGTACTAAAAATGCCTAAAACTAGCACAGTAACAAACTGTGTGGTGCGGGTTTTTTGACAGTAATGAAGACTCTTCCAAATGAAAATCAGCTGTATCTGTTTTCTGTGTCGACTCAGGGAATGTTCTGTTTGGATAACTACTTTTTCATACGGAAAGTAACACTAGAATTGAGAGAGTAACTGAAATGGCTCAGTTCGTATCTTTGTGTGAAGAAATATAATAGTTTATATGAAAAGCTGTGGCATAATGGTGTATTTTCTATGTAACATGCCTGTGGTGTCTTCTGTATGCAAGCAAATTCCACTTCTACATTTCCTGATTCTGAGAGAGATTATCTCCTATTTGCTGAAATGTGTATGCCTCTATATGCCTTCTAACATCCTCACATGATAGCTGTTAACATTTTCTACATTACATTATCCAATGTTCCAATTTTCTGCAGTAAAAGGCGCTCAGTTTATTGCCTTCATCAGTATCTGTCAGTGTTTTGCCATTTTCTTTTCTGGGGCCAAGATTTCAAGTCATGGTTATTTCTTCTGTTCCTCAAATAAAATACAGCAGCTCTATAAGAGAGAAACAAGAAGGCTTGAATGTAATTTGTTCTAAGAAATTAAGTTCTAATTTCTGTAGGTGCATTTGAAAAGCTAATAAAAAAGGCACACTTGTATCACGAGTTACTGTTGAACAACTTAGGTTTTAGTTTTAATTGCTTCAAACAGCAGTTCAGAAACACAATCTGGTTTAAAGCCTTCGTTAATTTTTTTCTTTTTTGGGACAAGCTAGATAGAATGGCCATGGAAAACTTGAGAGTATACAGCTAGTTTGAGTACTTCCATTTGAGAAGTGTGAAAAAAAGGCCCCTAAAGCTCTGCTGATGTACTGCTTCTGACATACAAGTAAAATGTATCTGTAGAACTGCAACTATTGCTCATGGTCTCTGTGTGTATTTGTGTATGTCCTAAAACTTATGTTCTTTTCTGTTTTATTCCACAGCTCTGTAATAGACACATCATTTCAAAGACTAAGTAATACTTGATATGCAGAAAGAGCTCTGGTGAAATGACTAGGCCTGCTTTTAGTCATTATCAGTCTAGAGCTTTCTGATTCAGCATGCAGATAAAAAAATAACTGAAAAGAATCACTTGCTTTTGTGAAATATAGCTAACATATTATCTGCTGTCTGGGATTTAAGGGGTCAGGCTTCATGTTGTAGTGAAGACTGAATAAAGGTGCATAAAGGATTTAAGCACCCATAAAATATCTTCAGCAACTTAAGGCACACGGAGGTAGAATTAGGCTTAGGAGCTCACAATGGTGAGTTCCAGGAGCCAGGTATTTACATGTATAAGGTATAGAAACAGGACCTTCAAGGATCCCTTGTCAAAATTCTTGTCTTTGTCTCCTCTGTTGGGAGATAATGGACATGTGAGCAATCCTACACATGTGCAGGCCTTGGCAAGGACATAGAACAAAGAACTCAGCAACCAACTCCAGGAGATGGGTTGGGTGGAGAAAGACATTTGAGTGTGGCGCTTATTATCCAATCGTAAGAAGGCTTGAAGCGCATGGACAAAGCTTAACTGTCCAGTCATAAGGATTGTACCACGTACTGTTCGTGTGCACAGGAGAAACCTATAAAAGGGCTTGCTTACCTTCAATAAATGGGCATTGCTTGATCATACTGGTTGTGTGCATGTCCATAGCCCCCGCTCTCCTCACCCGAGTTTCTTCTGTAGAATTCTCCTATGCCTGAAATTTGTATAGCCAATTTGTTTAGCTCTTTGCATTCCTCTTACTCCCACACTGGCCCAGGGATATTAGAAAGCTGACTACTTTCTTGGTAGATTCATCAGGAAAAGCAGAATGAGGTGCCCTCTGAAGTGCTAAGCTGATGCACAGCTGCTCACCGTTTTGTACAAGGACTCTGTTACAATACTTCTCTTATGGGCAAGTCTTTCCCACTGTCCCAGCTGCCTCTGTTGTGGAGCCAAACACACAACCTGATTGAGAGTATTCTCCTTTCTTTACAAATGATAGAATAAGAAACTGGTATTAATTTTCAGTCTTTTTAAAAACTAGCATCCTGCTAGCAAGTTGGACTGTGACTCATATGGTGATTAAGACTCATGCAGTAGGTGGAGATGAAGTGATCTTCATGATATGTGGTCTTCATTTACATGTATGTTTGCTCTTTGACATTTGCTTAAAATTACTTTTGGGCTGTGGGAAGGCATGCAGCCACTGAGGTTCATCTAAGCTCATGTAGCCCTCTTAATTTAATGGTTGTAACCTCTTTATAGTTAAATGCAATGCAAATGCTGGTTATTTTCCTCCCCTCTTTTAAAAGTGCAAGCATTATTACTTAGAAAAATTTAGACAGACAACTTCCATTTCAAAGACCCCGACATCCCATTTCTGCACTGCGAGAAACAGTCCTAAATGATTTGGTGATAGTACCTCTAATGAGTCAACCGTGAAGCTGTTGTTACAGCTCTGTCATGATGTATTTTGCAAAGGTATTTCTGCCTGTCAATGTGCAGCATGAACTGACTTACAGATAATACGGTAGCACACAACTTTCTTGCATCAAAGGCATCAACCTCTGCTTCTTCTGTGTGCCAGCATTTGAGGAACTGCCTATTAAGCATAGATATAAGTCCCCAGAAAAACCCACAGGACTAAGTATTGTTGACCTAATACTTCATTTGACTAAAATGTTCAGCATTTTTCATGGCATAACCTCAGTTCCTGTGCACATCTGACACAATTCCTCAAATATCACAACACAATTATCTTTAGTGTTCTAGTACATTGCATTTGTTTGACCTTGTACATCTGTTTTAAGCACCTTTATAATTAATTTAGTATTTTGCCTAAACAAGCTTATGATTTCCATACAAATTACTAAGAGAAACTAATGTGGCAGTATTTAATTGTAACGGTGAAGGCATGAATGCAGTTTTTAAACCTAGAAACTGTTGCTTGATAATTGAACATACAAGTAATGTGTTTTTCTTGTGCTGCTTGAAAAATAAATACATCCAGCCTGTTTAAAGTTCTGTCTGCTGAAAAAGATGTATTATTTTAAGAAATTAATCCCATCAGAAGACACTTGCAGGCTTCTGGTTTTGATACTGGTAGCAGCTTGTAAATACACTGGCAGTCTCTTTGAAATTTATCTTCAATTTAAACTGATCACTGTGAATGTTGCTTTTTGCAAATTTCAGACAAGAGGATCTTCTAATGTGACTTCTTATTCCTTATTGGGTACTACTCATTGTGAATTGATTCAAGTCTTCAGTAGGTCACAGACCTCTTTTACATCAAGATCTTTAGGTATGACTATGAAATTTTGATGTAGATTTAGCTTCAGAATAGTACATAGTTCATGTGGGTTGTGACATCTAGTCCAAATCAGGATGCTGAGTAAATTTAATTACTGTATATCCAGTTCTGTGCTATAGTGAGCTATTTTAAAACTTAAAAACTTCTGTCACTGTACCTAGCTGAGAATGATTTGGTAAATTGCTATTTCCAGTAGGAGAAAACTTAACTGCCTTGAATAATAGTCAGATGTGAATTAGATGAAGCTTATGTTTAGAAAACAGTTGCAATTCTATAAAATTCCTTAAAATTTTCCTGATGGTATGCAAGTGTTATCTCAAAATCTCAGTTCTTTTACCTGGTATGCAATGAACTGACAACCACAGTCAAGATAACTTGTTTAATCCATATCTGTGCAGAGATGGGTGCTAGGTGGTAATTCCACAAAGCCAGCACACTGCACACAACATATTTCTACACTTCAAACTACACAAATACACATTTACTGTAATGACCAGTGGGTAGCTTCTTATCACTTTGTTCCTGGTTAGTTAACAACATGCCTCCTCTCAATTTAAAGTCATGGGATCCTCTTTTTCAACTCTGCATGTTCAGTGAGGAAGGTGCTTGTCTTGGTGGGGGGCTTTTTCCCCCTCAAGGGTAGGTTTTTCACTGTGTTAATGAGGAAAGCTCACTCATGGTTCAAGTAGTTCTCTCCTTGGTTCAATTGGCAGCTTTTGTTCCTGTACACTTATCTTGGCATTTCCCTGCTTGATGGTTTTATGGTGTCTTCTGTTGCACTTACCTCAGTTTGTATTGCTTTTTCAGGGTCACTTGGTTAGCTTTAACAGTTCCTTGAACAATTCCTGGCATTCTTTTACAGCCCTCCTTTGGTCATTTTATTAATAAAGATGTAATACAAGTAGTTGTGCAAGCACACTGAAAGATAAATTTACATAGTCTTGTTTATGCAGTGTAATTTTACTTCCTTGCAGGTATTTAGTTTTCATTTAAAAGGGCAACATGGAGAGTACACTACATTATTGTACTATGAATAAAGACATATGACAAATTGCTTCATGGTGTTTTGAGTCTTTAGTACTATAGTCAAAGAGAGACTGACTTAAAGGTGGCACAGAGCATTAGTTCTGTGATGTTTCTGGTCTTGATCCCATTTTTTAAATCAAACAGAGGTAGTGTTTTGATTAATAAAAAAAAAATGGAGATGGATCACTTCTGGTAGTTAAATAATGAACCTTGCTCAGATTACTTACACCCCTATGATGTCAATTTGTGGGGAATAAATATCTGTACACAGGTGTCTTAATGATGCAACCTGGAAGTCTAACTGTCTTGAGTCCTAGATAGGTTCAAAAGGTCTCATCTTCTGAACTTCTGGAAAGATACTTCATTACCTCCTTAGTGGCTGTTATTCTTCCCTTTTAGCAGAGCAGAATTTGTCCCATGACCAGAGAAGTGCCAATTTACAAAAATCACAGTGGGTGATTCGAGTTCCAGATAAGCCTAATACCTAATTTCCAGCTTTCACTGCCCCAGCTCAATCAACTACTGTGTTTGTCTCCAGGCTTTTTGTAGCTTAACCCTTTCAAGTTGTCTTTAACAAACTACCTGCTAGGCTGCTAGGTGTGTGGTGGGAGGGTGTCATAACAGTATCAACTTCCACCAGAAAGGACACTCAAACTCAGTTGGATTCAGTCTTTTTTAATAAATTAATGTCATTCAAAATACAGTGCCAGAACATGATGCAGCTGAACATGCTAGTAAGGTTTTGTCATGAAGCACCTGTGTTCATGTTAGATTGGCGGCACCCCGCTACTGCTAGTGGTTCCTGGGATTAATGCCAGAGCAGCACTAGTCATCTGCTCTCCTGCACGCAGAGCACAGGATATTCCTGAACAGTATGCTCCCCCCAAAGTAAAAAACCTGACAGCTAAGGGGTATCTCTACACAATCACACTACAGTAATGCTTGTTATTAAATTAACAGAAAATAAAGACCTGGTTAATCCACACTAAAACTTTGTTTTACAATGGAAAAATACATCAGCAGCAGGAAGTAATATACATGAGCCAATGTTACTGTAATACAGAATGTGGAGACATTTACCGATTAAAGCTCCACACAGACCCGCACTATGAGGGCTGACAATCCCTATTGCAAGCCCAGCAACTTAAGTCCACACCTGGTAAACTACCAGCTGCTTGGAAGACCTGTATTCTAAATAGACAGGTATAAGTTAGTGAAAATAGAATACATGCACCTAATAATACAGCTTGACTGAACCTGCAGTCATTTTGCCCTGCATGTTACCATACAATGGAAGATCTACCCTTCCTACCACAGGTAGATCCATGGGATTTGTTTCTTTTTCTTTTAATGGCATTACTATACCAACATGGATATTAGTATTAAGTGCAGCACAGTCCTTTAATTAGGCCACACTGACAATTATATAACTAGCACTTGAGTAGAATGTCCAGAAGTAGTTCAAATATAACTGGAAGCTACTTTCAGAAGAGTTGTGACATCATCCTAGAAACAGTAACTACTTTTTTCTGAAGCTAATTTTCCTGAACGGAGAATTCATAGAACTAGAAAGTAATTCTTTAGACAAGTCAGATGCTTAAGCTCATGATATACATACAAGTTTCTCAATTACCAGATAATAGTATTTCAGATTATGGAAGCATATCTGCTCATTTTACTGATTCATACTGGATGGCGGCAAGTGTTAGGTAGGGCATAAAAATACAACTCATGAAGGACAGGTCTGGCATTTCTGTTTCCAGACCTGTTCTTTCACAACCTTTCCTTTCAAGGTAACTGAGCACAGGATCGGCTGTGCAGTCTAATCTGGGAGCTATACGGGTGGCAGAGTAACCATCTCCCCATCCAGCTCAAATTCATCAGCTCCATCTGGTGAGAAGAGGTACGTTGGAGGTTTCCATGGGGACTCTTCAAGGCAGGATGGATACAGCTTTCCCACAGTGCACCGGAAGTCCTTCCCCAAGTCCCACAGCACACGTTCCGATATATGCTGCCTTAGGAACCAGCGATCGAGTTCCAGGTCATACTGGTAGGTGGCATACTTGGCCCTCTCGTTCATGTGGGTTTCTCGTATAAAGACGCACAGAGAATTAGAGATGACAACGGCTCGAACGCACGGGTCAGAATACCGCTTGGCAGGGATGTTGGCTGCCATCCTCCACTCGTTTTTATTCACGTCGTAGATTTCCACAGTGACGGAAGACCCATCTACAGTACTGCTTGGGAGCCTTACACCAGAATTGCTGGCAATATGCAGTCCGCCAATATAGAAGATTTTGTCTCCAAAAGCAGCAGCTGAAGCAAAACACCTACTTGTTTGTCTCATAGCCATTTCTACCCAAGCATCTGACCTGGGGAAGTAACAGTACATCAAGTTGTGTGTCATGACGTAAATGCAGTTGTGAACAGCCACTGCTGTGCTCCATTGCCACGCACAGGGCAATGGGCTTACCATGGTCCACTCATCCTTCTCGGTATCGTACCTCTCCACAGTTCTCCTGTTGAGCTCTCCACCAACGCTGTCCCCTCCAATTGCATAGATGTATCCTTCACAGCAGACCAGGGATGGCTTTATACGAACAAAGAGCATCGGTGTCTTTGGAAACCAAGTGTTTTGCTGTGCATCAAACCAGTAAAAGCAATTCACAGTTCTGAAGGCAGCCTGGAGTTTGCTGCTTTTACTGTGATTAGTTTTCGTGTTTTTCAGAGGGACTTGCCCACCCGCTATATAGATGTCATTATCGGGAGTTACCAGCGTCCCAACCTTATGCAAGTCAGCCGGAGGGCTGCACAGTTTGTAAACTTTTTCTGCCTGGGGGCTATAACAGACAGAAGAATAAAGACTACCAGGGTTTTCAGCAGCAGCTTCAATGAAAATCATCATCTCCTCTTTCGTCATACCAAGTCGGGGCTTGAAAAACTTAGGCATGGATTTGTACAGTCCTTGCACCACCACCGATTTATCATTGGGTGGTAAGCCTTGGAACCAGGCTCTCTGTGTCACTTCTGAAAGTGCATCGATTCGGATTTGGCTAAGAACAGAGGACAAATACTGCGATCGTGATTCTGTGTTGTACTCCAGCCACAACATAGCAGCTTCACGAACTGTCTCCTCCTTTTCCACATTTAAATTGTCACTGCTTAAAATATCTATCAGTAGATCATGTGACAGTTGCATGAAAGCCTCCTGGTGGTACACAGCTGTGAACTTGTGCTCTACCATTCTTTTAGCACTCTGTTTTAACTCTTCACAGCTGAAGAGATCAGCAAAACTTAACAGACGCACACAATTTTCTGCATTAATTTTTTTGATTAAGTATTCTCTACACTGCTGTAACACATCATCTACCTGTAATGCAAAGAAAAAAAACACACTCAGTATTACTGCATACAATCTATTCCTTCACATACCTGCAGCAAGGAGAAGTACCCGCATTTAGTGTCGAACAACAGAGCTTAGGCCTGGAATACTGTACATACACAGAAATACAGCCGTGACTTACTCGACCGCCCCATACAGATCAGGTACATCACATCATTATGTCTGCTGGAGAAACTCATTTTCTGAATGTCAGAAGTGCACTGTTTTACATCCACCCTCCACAGGGACCATAAAGCGAGGAGGGATGGGTACAGGAAACCTATCTGGCAAGCAACTGCTGTCTGTATTGAGCAAACTGAAGAAGGGTATTTTGAAATGACTAAACAGAGAAGACTATTTAACAAAAAAAAAAAGGTTCAAAGATTAGCAGCAGTTATTTCATACTCAAAATAAAACATTCCTACCTGTAAGAAGCAGGCAGTTTCATAAAGCTGTTCTACTGTGCTGTCACTTATTGCCAAGTTACCCGTGTATGCATAAGTTATGATAATCTGTAAAGTGGATGCATCCACATTCCTCAGGTGTACATGGGTTTGTTTACTTTCACTTAGTCCACTCATGAACATGGCTCTGAGGAAAAATATACACATTAAGACAAGGATCAACAGTAAGTACAGCAATCTTAAATAGTCACCCATAAGTCTTCAGCGATTACACTCCAAAAGGTGAACAGCCTTTTTGGTTGCCTGTTTACACCTGTTTAGTATTTACCTTAGGCTACCATCTAGTATTTAAGCCAAAGCATTTGTGCAGAACATCCACAAAGTACCATCAGTGCCTTCTGCAGAAGTATTTTATATTTATGCAAACTCTCTAGTGTTAATCAGCAGAGCACTAATGATTTTAGAGTTATAATGACAAAATCTAAAACTTTTTCTATGTTAGGTGATATTGAGAGGGAAGAAACATCCTCCAGAAAATACTGCTGAAACATACACAATTAGATCTTAGGTTCTAAAACAGAAGTCGCAGATTTACATAGTGGACTGAGCTAAGTCATACCAAAAAGCATGCTCCTCTGGGAGGAGAAAATGAGCTTAGAAAATGGAGCAAGGACTAGCACTCCACCAAGTATTTCTTATATACCATTCATAATAATATGCAGTAAGCTTTTAGTTTGTAGACAAAAATCAATGACACAAAACTATCAGACTCAACACGGTTAAGAACTCACTGGCTTCTAGTAGTGTAAACCAGGTACTTGGCAATTTTCTTAAAATGGGACACACTTGATTTTAAGAGCTTTGCATTAATTCAGGTTTGGTATTTAAGGTTGCATTGAAAATTCAGCTCTAGGCTCTTTGTATTTATTTGGGGCTTTTTAGGGAAGATAGGAGAGAAGTTAGAAGGGACAGTGCGGGCACCCTGCAGTCCTGCCCCCAGAGCAGAGGTGAAGGGGACATGGAGGTACACTCCCTAAGCAAAGACATTCCAAGAAGCATCTGACACCACAACAGTGCCCCACCACCATTCCCTCCTCTACCCCATCCCCATCTCTCTGCCTTCTAAGCTCCTTAACTCAGGGCAACTTGCCTTTTGGGAAGGATCACTGATGGCCAAGTGAGTAACAACTTGCCATGCAGCTTTTTTAAGGTTAGCAAGACAGTACAAGTGCCAGCAGAGACTCCTCTTCACAGAAAGGAAGAGGTGGCTGTTGGAGAACCTGGGCTCTCGTGTGTGGTGAGCGGGCTGTGCCGGAGCTGGGTGGCCGCAGCACAGCGTTCGAGCACCAAGATGGAAGATAAGTGGGCTGCAGTCATGCACAGTCGCTGGATCACACTAAGAGATCCTTTTCTCTTCTTCCCCTTCTCCCCACAGCCTCCTTTGGGGCTATCAATGTTTCATAATAAAGCTAAATTTAGGAAGCTGAGCATCTTTTTGTAAAGCAAAGTAGAGAAGAAAAACAGAACATGACAAAACCACAAGCTTGATAATTCTTTTAACCAGTGCCAAAACCTCATTCCACAAATAATAAACAAACACATATGAGAGATCTGACTGCATATTCTAATGCAGCACGCTGCGTGGACTCACAACAGCTTTCCAACCTTATGATTAGCCACCCACATTAAATCTGGCCACATTTCCAGTGGCTGTTATTTTACAGACTGTTGGAACTATGTCATCTGCACAAGGCCAACAGCAATAATCATTATCTAGTGATCACAGTACTTGTTGCTAAAAATTGTACCACGCTCATCTGAGATGAAAAAATTAATACAAAAAGCAGCAACAAAAACTTCTGTTAAAGTAATAAATTAATCCTTGAATAGTTCTATGCAAGAAAGCAAAATACAGAAAACACTTTGGAAGTGTTCTGTATAGTGAGCCCGTCTCAACAAGAACACAGAATTTGCAAATCTTCCCTTGATTAAACAGGAGAGAAGTTCTAATACTTCCACAATGCATCAGGAAGGTAAAACATGCATGGATATCACCAAGACTAGTTTCAAGCTTCAAAATTCCTTCCAGCCAGCCAGATTAATTACACTGTGTTGCCAATAAAAAGTGATTAATCACTGCAGCAAATTCATGGTGCCTCATCTTCACTATGACAGTATCTGCAAAAAGTAGTAGCAGTCGACAGATCTTATCAATAAAATCTTTTCAAAACACAGAAAACAGGACACCTGGAAAGCGGGAGCTACTGAATTTAAAATTTCAACAGCATCTCAGTTGAAGGAAAAATCCAAACAACCCCCCCCCCCCCAAAAAAAAACCTGTTGCAATTGCAACAAGACTCAGGCAAGAGAAGAGTTTGTCTTCTTTGCTGAGCAGAAAAAAAACAAAACACAACAGATGATTCGGAAAAGGAAGCCATGAACTTGCACAGCAATCCCTGCTTTTAGCAGAGGCTTCTACGAAACTACAGCTAATAAACACGACAATGGAACTCCCACAACGAAGTCTCAATAATCCCCTCTTACCCTACCTTGGAAAATAAAAAAGATTCAATATTTAAAGACCAACTATGACAAATAAAGAAATTTACTAATCACTCAACTCCCTAAATAAATGACCCATCCAAGTGTGATTTTTTTTTTTACTACTTATTGTAAAAATTACAGTACCCATCCAGACTAAGTCACAAGATGCTGGAAAATTTATTTTACTCTTTTGTTGTTGGTAAGTAATGACATTTAGGTCTTTTACTTACTTCACTGATCTTTAAAACTCTCTGCAACACATTAATTGTTAATCAGTTAAGAAATATTATACTCAAAACCAGGTATCACAGATTTTCTAGAATTAACAGATCCTAGTTTGAATACTCACCTGAAATACGAGCTGCACGTTGCAAGAACCATCTTATGGCAGGGAAATTCGGTGCCCTCAACAATCAACACTATGTCAGTTAGCAACTGCTGTTCATAAAAGAATTTTAACTGCTCCAGCAAGGATACAGCATACTCTGTATTTATCTGCCTCTCGTCCTGGGTAGACATGACTGTATTCCATTAATATTTCCAGGACCAGAGAGAAAAGTCAAGATCTTTTTGCCAGAGAAAGGTCAGTTGAGTAACCAGGGAAGAAATGGCAGGAGGTCTGTAGGTCTTTAGCCTTCAGAAGTGATAGGTTTAAAAAGGCAATGTTATCTTGGACTGCTGAATCAATGTTTCAGACTTTGACCTACTATTAGGTCATCATGCCTTGACTTGATGTCACAATCTGTTCAGAGACTTTCAAGAGTGTCTCCAGAGCTCCTGTTGAGATCTATGACGCAGCAAATGAATGAGCAAAAGTGAAGTCTGAGGTAGATTTCGTGGTAACATCTCGTGATCAATGGCTGCGCTTGAGTGACTGAAAGCAGGAAAATAAAATTAATTTACACATTAGAGCTTTTTCAAAAACCTTTCATAGTTACCCCTTAAAAGTAATTGCCTAACAAACTTATTTCTAAATTAGTACTCAATTACTTGCACTAAAACCCTCATAGAGTAAAAAAATTAAACAAGTATTGAAGAGAAACGAAGAGCAGAATGGTTTGTATATTAATTCTTATCAAGACCTAGACTCATGAATGAAGATAATTTATTTTGTCAACACAGCTTCTAAAGCTGGAGTTAAAATGAGGTTCAGTAAGACTTTATACATCTTCCAAGAATTACCCAGTTTTCTCAATGAGCACAGCTGTGCATTTCCTTTAACCATTGATAAGACATCCAAATATTTTTTAATTTCCATATTAAACAGCTACTTTTTCAGCTTCGGTGGTTTTACCTACTTTAAGCTTATCCATACCGGGCCACTAAAAATATAAATGTAGTTTCTTCAACATTCCATCATTTTCCAACTAAACTGTCAACATCAACCCATTTATTTCACCTTTGGCACTCTACTAAAAAACAAAGAGAACCACAGCTAAGGATTAAAAAAACTAACAACCTATATTCCCAAATCTTATTTGATTCATCTTCTCTATGTTTCACCTATTAGCATTCCACATTCCTTTTTTTTCCTTCCAAGTCATTTCCAAACAGCCATGACTGCTGCAGACAGGAGAAAAGTAAGGAGATAAGAGGAGCAAAGGGATGCTGGAATAGCAGGGGTCAACACACTTGGAGTGGTTAAAAAAAGCAATGACCACAGGCCACCAACGTCTGTTTTATTGTTTGGACATTTCTTGTCCTCTTAAAAATGGGGTCAAGTTTTATCTTACCTTCCACGAAAACACAAAAACATAATTAAGAATGGGATAGTTGTGACAGTAAAATCACCACCACAAAGGACACCTTATTACCACATCTACCAAATACTTCCAGATTTATTTAATCTTGCAGCTGTTCTTTTGTAGTCCAAAATCGAGGAATAACCAGGGACAGTCTGTCTACTCTCCAACACATCACTATTCATTACAGTCCACAATGAACGGTGAATGCAGAAATACCTTACTTAAAAGGACATCCTTTAAATTCAACCAAAAATATACTATTTAGTGTAAGATAAAGGCTGTAAATACCTGCCAGTCATATCAAAGATCTGCTATTTCAACAGAGCACCGCCTGCAACATAATTTAACATTCACTCACTGGAAACAGACATGCTTAATTAATGCTGCTTTAATTACTACTGATTTAGTGTCACTGATCTTTTTCAGTAAAGAAATGTACAAACAAGAATCTCAAACTCTTAGTTTTTACTGGTGGTTTAACTGGAAAACAGTCAAAACAGTCAAACCCAGGATTCACTGTTTGTTCAGGTGAAGCCAGTTAATTAAGAAAACCAGAAAAGGTGTTAATATCTGGGGGAGTAAGGAGAGACTAGTATCTGCTGTAACAACACATATTGGCATAAGTCTTGACTTCAGACCTTCAGGTTTCAGGTGCAGTTAACTGCTGATGTCACTAAACCACAAGTATATCAAGGATATACAAAGATATTACTCATCCAAAGCAACGACCTTCTGCTTCAAGTTACAACTTCTTTTCACCAAATTAGTATGCATCCTATCTCTGCATCACTAAACACTATCCTGGTTATCTGATAACAGCTTAACATGCAACCTGATCCACTGACAGATTTTGCACTGAACTTTAAATGGCTATAGAGACACACAGACTTCCTAAGCGTGTTGGGCCCACAGAAATAGCTCGTGGCTCTACTGGTATCCTGGGTCTCTGCAGCATTGTTCTTCCTGGTTTAAGAGCAAAGTTTCAAGAACAATCCAAACTGGTGGATTAAGCTCTGTTCGGGCAGAGCATCAGTAGGGCTAAGCTTCAGCAAAAGAAGTCACTGATACCCTAACTTCCCGTTCTGGTGTAATTTTAAAGAATATACATCTTCAGAAACAGGAAAAAGAGAACAAAACTAATATGCACTGGTTTAGTCATTAGGTAACAGAACCAGTCAAGGATGCCACAGAGAAATTGATATACACCTGCTAGTAAGATTAAAGACATTTTTGGCAGCATGTGGCTGAGAGTCAGTAACTGAAAAAGCAGACCTGTTCAACAGAAGATGAGTTGAAACTGTGAAATTAATTACTATAAATAGCTGGAACATTTGAGTATGACCCTCGGTAGCAGAAAAGACTGAGATGACAACAGGAGTCTTGTTGCAGAACATTTATGTGATGCAAACCACCTCTGAACTGTAAGTTTACAAAGCTGAAGCCCTTGGTTTACAGCTGATCTGAAACCATCTAATTTCTGTTATGTGTTCCAGGGAAGTGCACATGGTAGGAAGATGCTACGTACTGATTCCTATTTTCCACATCCCTACTGTGTTTTGCTGCCAAAGATAAACGTTTGCTGAGAACAAACTCTTGTATTTGTCACAAAGTCAGGAGTCACATCCCATTCCCTTGTAATGGAACTATGCTAAGTACTCCTGAGGAGAACATTACATCAGGGTCTCTGAATTTCTCATTTAAAATTACTATTGTCATTTGCCCAAGAGAAGTGAATCTGTTCAAAACATTAGGATAAGTGGTACAGGAACATCATTTCATGCCTGGAAAGTCATCCAAGACTACCTATCTCACACTTCTCTGAAGAATAAGACAACAAGAGATACTCTCCTCACTTTAGAGACTGAAAAACTGAGGCACTGAAATAAGAATCAGCTTGTCCAAAGCCACATACTTGCCAAAGGAGAACTGTAAGAGTCTCAGCTCTCCCCAGGCCCAACCTAACCTCTCTCTCACTGCACGGTGCTCGGTTGACATACAGCTCTTATACTGCAGCTAACTGAAAGTTGAGGAACCGGAAGAGACGTCTACAGATGCAGATGTCTCCTGTAGTTCTCATAACTACGCAGCAGTGAACATTTCTTATTTATGGGTAAAAGTTCTATGGCTGAAGTTAGCTTCATATGCTGAACTGAAATTCTGATAGAATAAAAATAATCCTTGAATACAAGTTCTGTGAATAAGACTTTTCCCTTCCAAAATGTCACTGGAATGCCCATTTTGTTCTGGGTAACTTCTCAGAAGTCAGCTATCTAAACCAGGACTGGTAGGTAGCTGCTGAAAGGCCACATGGGGACTGGATTGCAAATTAAATCCAATTATTACCAGGTGATCCAAAGTAACTCCCTATTAAGGTGGAGAGCAACATTAAATAACAGGTTAATAAGAGGGTTTGGTTTTAAGTAATTATTCCTTTTATCTTAAGCAGTTTTAATAAGGTGGCTTTTAACACTTGTTCATGTACTTCAAATCTGAATGAGACCATTCAAAGAATTAGCCATCAAGTGTTAACTAGTTATGGGATAGGCTATTAATTGCCATCCTTAAATGTGTTTATCTTCTAAAGTCAGGCAAAGATTGATATACTGAGATACATACTGCACTACATACATGGAAGTGTTAACACTATATTTCAATGTGTAACATGGAATAAGTATATTGTTTCCAGTGTAATTAGTAGGGAAAGGTATAAAATATATAGATATAACAGTCCTCAACTTGACTAATTCAAAACAAAATTTGCTGTATTTTTCCCAAATTATAAGGCAAAACAGGTATACAGACATACAATTTGGTTCGTGATTTTGTTTGCTTAGATATTTTGATACTAGGAAAAGAAATTCTTCTGAAAATCCCATTAAAAAGTCTGCCAGATTAGATACCTAACTTCCAATAAAATTCAGGGAAACACTTGAAAGTCTCACAGGTTCCTATCAGCCAACTAAATATCTCTTGAATTCTAACTTCACTAACTACTATTCACACTTCAATAAACCTGTATATTTAGAACTAAAAAGAAAAATCCACCAAAACTTACCTCCCTGGACATTCAACTTTAACTAGGTTTTTTTTAAACTAATAATAACTTTAAAAAGTTTTAAATACTACTTTGTGCACTTTTAGTCAAACTCTTATTTCTATCCAAGGGCAGCTTCATACAAATCACAAGTAAAAACACGCCTAAAGTAGTGAGTCATTCACTATTTTTAACATAATAAAATGTCAGAATTAAGAACTGAACGACTGTAAGCCAAACTCCACATGCATTCATGTGTGCAGAGATAGCAATCCTCCCAACTAGCAGTGAAAGTACCAAGCTCAGGCACTTTAATACTTAGTAACTATTAAAGATATGCTGAGTTTCAAGTCAACATGTTTCAAATGATTGTACAAACTAGTAACAAGGGGGAATACAAGCACTAAAACCAATCAAAATCAATTATGTAAATTAATACACCTAGCCAACAGATCTCAAAGGTAGGAAAGAAAGAAAAAAAGGAGTTGGAAGCTCTAGATTCTTGAGCAATGTATCAAATTTGCATCCTTGGCAGCAAAAAATAAATAGGTAATTGATGAAGCAGTTTCCAGGCTTGGAAGTTTTCCTCTCTTCTAAAGCCATCAAAGGTGTCTTTGATAGCACTGCAGTCCAGAAACCTGACGACATCAAGGGGATTCTAATAAGGCAGCAACATGAAATTTCACAAAAAACAAGGACCGATTTATTCCTACAATGTTATCATCTTGAGAATTACTATTCACTTGGAAACTACTACTATTTTCCATACGTATTATGCTTGGGAGGCAAGTTACAACTTTGAGGTAGGTGAGCTTTCTGAAACTACGAAGTAGCAGAAGCGTCAGACTCGCTGCTAACAACACGTTTGGTCACAATGCACTCATCACCAGTCTCCTTTCTGTTTTTCTGCTTCTAAAGGAAGTTATACACTAAAGGAAACAGACCTGCTCAGAAATGAAATCAGCACAAGATAAACCAACAACTTAACTTGGCAACTGGCCTTCTAGGCTGAGCACAGGTAGTTTCCATCCCCAAGGGCGTTTCTGTTTTGTGGAAAGACTTGACTGGTTTTGGAAAATTAACCTTTAAGAAAAAGCGAACCACGGATGTCTCCAGTCAGATCCAGCCATGTATGTATAGAAAAGTAGATTTTTTTCCTCTGAGCTCTAGTACATTGATGAAGCTAGCTTGTTTTATTTAACAACTTAAAAGTCCAGTTCATAAGTATAAGTCACTCCCTTAAATAGTCACTATCAGATATGATGATGTTCAACTATGAATTCAAACATTTCTATGTTAAGAAATTAGATTAATAATTAAGGTAGCTTAAGTTAGTTCCTGAAAGTTTAAGAGCCTTATAATGGATATCTTATTCATGCATATAAAATTTATTCTCAAAATGCAACAGCCACTAAATTAAGGAAGAGAAATTTTAGGATTTGCACCAATTCTGATCTGTTTCATAATCACATGACCGAAAGAAAAAAAGCTGACCTCAAAAAAAACCCAACAACCATCACCTGTCCAAAATGTAGTCAAAAAAACCTAAATAAGCAGCAACATCCTTTCTTTTGCTTTGGTCTGTTCCTGAAAGATGTTAGTTACACAGCACCACATATAACAGGACCCTTTTATTCCACACACAAAAATAATCAGGAAAATGGTGTGACACATACACCCAGATCAGAAGAATACATGGTTTACACATCTGAATATGTTAAACATTAAAAATTACCTATATCTCCTAGTATATTTGTGAGAAACTGAACTAAGTTGATCGTGTATTTTAAGTCTCCTAAATATCTCATCTGTACAAAATTAATGTAGATACAGCCCTAGGGGAGCTCACACCAGCATGGAGCATTTCAGGTCTACTATGGTCACAAAGTAACGTAGAAAGCCAAGGTGTGGCTTTGCAAGGAAACTTCTAAAAACGCAGATGCTAACTGCAACGCAAATCCATTTTTAATCATAATCAAAGTTATTTCAAAAGCAGATTATCTATCCCGTTCATAACAGAAACAATAGTAAATACTGAAGAATCTTAGGCATGCAGATGGCTAACTTCAAAGCTATACTATACATATATTTAGTCTATAAAAGCTCACTAAGAATTATTTGACTCTTCAAATCCACATACAAACACTGAAGCCCGCCCTTTGTCACTTTAGGTACTAATAATATAGAACTGTACACAAGTAGTCATACCGGCGAGGAAAGTGGGCATTTACAATGCCACTACAGTGCTGTCTTCCTAGAAGACTTCATCGTGTGTGTCCCTCCAAGCATCCCTAAAAAAAACCACCGCAGTTGCAAACATCCCCACCCGCCCAGCTGAAGTGGAGCACCGCACACTGGAAGCCCCACCGCCCGCCCCACTACAGGCCCGGGTTTACCATCCCCTCCTGTTTACAGGACACAGCGACCCGGCACTAGAGAGAAAACACTTCCCCCACACACACACTTCCCAACATCCAGGTGCGCCGTCCCGTCCCTCCGCTACGTTCATTCCTTTCCTGCTTCCCCCCGAAGCCGCCGTCAGCCCCGAGGAATGAGGCACCTTCCTGCTCCGCGGGCACCGCCGCGCTCCGGGGTCAGCGACGGCCCCGCCGGTCACACGGCTGGGCGCGCTCCCCTCTCCTCTCCTCTGCTCCTCCCGGCTCTCCCGAGTTCCGCCGCGCCAGCAGCCGGCAATGGCCCAGGGCGCGGAGGCGGCCCCAGCCG